ACTAGAGCAACATCGGGTGGGTACCGGCGGGTGTCTCACCCGAATGGCGTATTCAAAAGCACCATTCGATGGCATGCCTGGCAAACCCCCCACTGCACGAGAGCGACATGCCCAGCCGACCCAAGCCGTGCTGACATGCCGAACGAACCAACGTTTCCGTCGCGGCCCAGCTACAGCTTGGCCTGCATCGCCGGCCCCACCATCTGCTGGCGGATCGCCAGGTCCGCCATGACCTCCTCGCTGCCCCCGAGGATGGCCGCGTACTTGTACGTCTTCTGGAAGCGCTCCACGTGCGCGCCCATGCCCGTCTTCGTGATGGCCCTCCCGCCGAACATCTGCACCGCCTCGTCGGCCACCAGGGCGCCGGCCCGGGTGCTCTGGTACTTCAGGAGCGCGATCGGGCCGCCGAGCTTGAGGGACTGCTCCTTGTAGGGCATCTTGTCCATCTGGTATGTGACCGACTCGAGGAGCGCGTGGGCACTCTCGACAGCGCCTGCCATCCTCGCGAGCTTCTGCCGGAGGACGGGTTGCTCGATCAGCGGCTTGCCAAAGGCCATGCGCTGTGTGGCCCACTTGAAGCAGTCCGCGATGCACAGCCTGCAGCTCGCGAGGAACTGGGCCACGATGAACCAGCGCTCGTGGTTGAAGTTGTACATGATGCAGGCGAAGCCCTGGCCCTCCTTGCCGCGGTTCCCTAAGCCCATCAGATTCTCCACCGGCACTTTGACATCGTCCAGGATGACCAGTGCCGTGCCGGCGCTGCCAGAGTAGGTAGTCTTGATAGCCTTGGTCTCCACGCCCATGTCTCGCGAGATGAAGAGCATGCTGATGCCGTTCCTCCCCGACCCAGTGCGCACAGCGGTGACGAAATAGTCCGCGAACATGCCGTTCGTGATCCACTTCTTCACCCCATTCACGATGTAGTGCTTACCGTCTGCCGTCTTGGTAGCAGTCGTCAGCATGCCGGCGACGTCGCTGCCAGCAGCGGGCTCGCTGATCGCCAGGCAGATCCTCTTGTCACCACGGAGCACCTCTGGCACTACCTTGTCGCGAATGTGCGCCGGCGCGAAGTGCAGCACGGGGGGTAGCCCGATGCAGAAGCCCGCGCCGAGCCCGTCGTTGAATCCCGGCGCTTGCCCCAGCCCGCGACCCATCTCCTCGTGGGCGATCTGCTCGTGGAAGTGATCAAACTCTGACGGCTTCACCCCCAGGGTGGCCTCCAGCTCGATGCCCGGGATCATGCTGAGGAAGGGCATCACGGCCTTCCCGATGCGCGCTGCCAGGAGCCCGCTCGTGCCCATGGCCTGGTAGAGCTCTGTCGTCGGGTAGTCCCCGGTGTCCTCGCCTTCGACGGCGTCCGGCCTCAGGACGTCTCGGACGAAAGTACGGAGCTTCAGGCGAAAGGTAGTGTGACTCTCGTTGTAGTAAGGCGACTGCCAGCCCATCCAGAACGACGGCTCGCTGTATGGAGTCACATCGATGTGGTGAGCGTTGGCTGTCGACTGCATGGCTCCTGCCTGCGCGCCAGCGACGGTGCCCTTGATCAATTTCCGACCCCACTTCTCCAGGACCTCGGCCTTATGCATCGCGAAAAACTCTTGCGAGCAGTCCTTGCCCGCATAGATCTTCAGCACTCCAGCGCCGCCCGGGTGAGCCCGCTTGAATTTGGTGACGTCGTACACATTCCCGTCCACCACGATCCACATGTCGTCGTCACTCTGGTGGGCGGCAACCTGTTCCATCGTGAACTCGGGAAGTGCAGCCATCTCTGTGCTGCTCGAGGGACCACCTTGTGGCGCGTAAAATGACGAGCCGCGAGATGCCGCGAAACTTAAAGCCCAACTGCTTGAGGCAAAATCGCTTGAGCCAAAATGGCTACGGAAGTAGTAGCAGTAGTAATCGTATTAGTAGTAGTCGTAGGCATCGTATTAATCATAATACAAGTATCAGAAGCCGCAGTTGTAGTAGCAGCAGCAGTAGTAGTAGGAGTAGTAGCAGTAGCAGTAGTAGCAGTAGTACCAGTCCTGCTGGTGGTAGTAGCAGCAAGAAAAACATGAATAACGATGATAGTCGCAGTAGTCGTAACAATCGACCCAAAGGAACGTTCCGAAAGACTTGGACCCGCAACCCAGAAAAGGTGGCGGGATAGAGAGAGGCCATTAAAGAATGACGTGGTGGTAGACATAGTAGGGTAGTGAAAAATAGGAACAGAGAACTGGAAGTAGTAGCAGTACAAGGGCGTCATCGAAATCGTAGTCTTGGTAGCAGCATAATACTAGCAATAGTAGTAGTAGTAGTAGTAGTAGTAGTAGTAGTAGTAGTAGTAGTAGTAGTAGTAGTAGTAGTAGTAGTAGTAGTAGTAGTAGTAGTAGTAGTAGTAGTAGTCGTAGTAGTAGTAGTAGTAGTATAGTAGTAGTAGTAGTAGTAGTAGTAGTAGTAGTAGTAGTAGTAGTAGTAGTAGTAGTAGTAGTAGTAGTAGTCGTAGTAGTCGTAGTAGTCGTAGTAGTCGTAGTAGTCGTAGTAGTCGTAGTAGTCGTAGTAGTCGTGGTAGTGGTAGTGATAGTAGTGGTAGTAAAAGTAGTCGTAGTCGTAGTCGCAGTCGTAGTGGTATGTCGTAGTCTTAAGGTTAGTAGTAGTCGTAGGTGCAGTAGTAGTGTTAGTTCCAGAAGTACGGCTACTACTACCTGTACTAGTTGTAGTCGTAGTACTAGGTGGAAGTAGTGATAGTAGTAGTAGCAGTAGTAGTAGCAGTAGTCATAGTAGTACTAGTAGTACTAGTAGTCGTAGTTGCCACAGTAACAGTAGTCATAGTAAAAGTACTATTAGTAGTAATAGTCGCAGTAGTACTAAGAAAAGTGGTTGTCGTATTACTACTAGTCGAAATCGTAGTCGTAGATGTAGCCGTCGTCGTCGTAGTAGGAGTAGTAGTAGTACTAGTAGTAATGGTAGTAGTAGTAGTAGTAGTAGTAGTAGTAGTAATAGTAGTCGTAGTAGCAGTAACACTAGTAGTAGTAGTCATGGTACGCGTAGAAGAAGAAGTACTAGTAGTCGAACTAGTAGTTGTAGTAGTAGTAGTAGTGATAGAAGCAGTAGTAACCGTGGTAGTGGTAGTAGTACTACTACTACTAGTAGTGCTAGTAGTACGGGAACTCATAGTAAAAGCAGTAGACGTAGTAGTAGTAGTAATATTGAAAGTAATCGTCGTAGTCATCGTAGTAGTCGTAGAAGTAATAGTCGCAGTAGTAGTGGTAGTAGTAGTAGTAGTACTACTACTACTACTACTACTAGTTGTAGTTGTAGTAATAACAGTAGTAGTAGGTCGTAGCTGTAGCAGCAATAGCTATAGTAGTCGTAGTGGTCGTAGTAGTAGTGATAGTACTAGTAGTAGTAGTAGTAGTCGTAGTAGTAGTAGTAGTAGTAGTAATAGTGGTAGTAGTAGTCGTAAGAGTAGTAGTAGCAGTCGTATTAGTAGTAGTAGTAGTAGTAGTAGTAGTTGTAGTAGTAGTAGTAGTCGTCGTCGTCGTCGCTGTCGTCGTCGTAGCAGTAGTAGTAGTAGTAGCAAGTGGCGGTAAGAGTAGTAGTAGTAGTAGTAGTAGCAGTAGCAGTAGTAGTAGTAGTCGTCGTAGTAGTCGTAGTAGCAGTAGTAGTAGTAGTCGTCGTCGTCGTCGTAGTAGTAGTCGTAATGGTAGTAGTAGTAGTCGTAGTAGTAGTAGTAGTAGTAGTAGTAGTCGTAGTAGTAGTAGTAGTCGTAGTAGTAGTAGCAGTAGTAGTAGTGATAGTGGTAGTAGTAGTCGTAAGAGTAGTAGTAGCAGTCGTATTAGTAGTAGTAGTAGTAGTAGTTGTAGTAGTAGTAGTAGTCGTCGTCGTCGTCGTCGTCGTCGTAGCAGTAGTAGTAGTAGTAGCAAGTGGCGGTAAGAGTAGTAGTAGTAGTAGTAGTAGCAGTAGCAATAGTAGTAGTAGTAGTAGTAGTCGTCGTAGTAGTCGTAGTAGCAGTAGTAGTAGTAATAGTAATCGTCGTCGTCGTCGTCGTAGTAGTAGTCGTAATGGTAGTAGTCGTAATGGTAGTAGTAGTAGTAGTAGTAGTAGTAGTAGTAGTAGTAGTAGTAGTAGTAGTAGTAGTAGCCGTCGTAAGAGAAACAATAATCACAGCGGTAACGATAATGGAAGCAATAGTCGTCACAGTAGCAGTAGTCGGAACCGTAGCAATGGCAGCAACAACAGCAGCAGTAGTTGCAACAGTACTCGGCAGGAGCGAGGCTGGTCGGCGGGCCGCCCGAGGAGCCCCACCCGGCGCGCCTGCGGGGCCGCGAGGCCGCGCCGGAGGCTCGATCGGCACCGGGCCGCAGCCATCGAGGGGCCGCTTCGTGTCGGCGGCGCACGGAGGGGGAAGTCGGAAGGGGAGGGCCTTCTCAGAAGGCGGCCGTGGTTCTCAGAAGCCCTCGCGCCTCCGGAGGAGCTATCCGTCTCTCTGGGGAAGGCTCGGAACGCTTCTCAGAAGGCCGGGGGGCTGCCGAGCCTTCTGAGAAGGCCTTCTCCTTCTCACTCCCCCCTGGGCTCGCCGCCGAATAGTATACCAAGCAGTATCCCCTGGGTGCAAGCACATATTGAAGGGAGATAATGCCCGCCGCAGGCGCTGGCGTTTGATCAAAGCCAGCAATTCAACCACTGTGCGTGTCGGGCCCAGCGCTACCGCTGGCCTCCAGACGGGCCCCAGACGAGAGGGGGAGAAGGGAGGAGGAAAGGATATGGGCCGGGCCCCCATGTGCCCCCCTAGGGGCCACGACGACGCCGCCGCTGGCCCCTACGTAGCCAGGCTACGCCACCTGGCCCACCCCTCGGTCGAAGAATATATGGAAGATACTGGCGCATGCTACGGCAAGTGCTCTGCCCGAACCAGTCAACACTAATGCTACCTGATATGGATTCGTGCGAACGGAAACCGCTCCCTCTGCCAACTGAGTCTGAGATTTAGGGAATGGTATTACCGCGACTGACCAATGTCAGACTGTGTAGACCCGCTTTGAGCTAAAATTGAGGAGGAAGGGCAGGCTGCCTTTTTGCTTGAGAAGGGAGCTCGGGCGCAGGGCCGCCCCCCTGGCCTTCAGCTGCAGCACGAACTGGATGAACTCTTGGAAGGTCAAGCTGGCGACGCGGACTCTTCAGCCCTCCTCCTCCTCCCGCTCCTCCTCCGCCCACTTCCCCCCTCCTCCTCGCCCCCTCCCCTCCTCATCACCCCTGCGACCCCCAGGCTGCTGCTGCCGCGTGTGCGCGGACTGCGCTCTCGCACCCTCGCCTCTCTCCTCTCCCTCCTCCCTCCCGCGCTGCACACTCCCTCCTCCACGTTCCGATTCCTCCTCCTGCCCTCCTACCCTCCCCGATCCCTGCCTCTCCCCTGGGCGATCTGCGGCCAGGGGACGGCGGAGCCGGGGCGCCGACCTCTTGGCGTCCTTGAAGATCAGGCCGGCCTCGTGCAGCGCGATGAGGCCCCCGGGGTCGGTGCCGAACTTCACCATCGTCTCGTGGACCTCCGGGGGGCCCCTCCAGCTGTCGGAGCCACGTGCGCCTCCCAGCCGGCGACCCCCATCCGCTCCCCGCCCTCGTCGACCACATGCTCCTTTTCCCCCTGCCCTCTTGCCTCCTCGCTCCCTTGTTCCTCTCTCCTTTTTCTCCCCCCAACGTCCCCAACGGATGCTGAACTGGTGCTGCGCCCCGCGCACGGTCAGGTCGCCCATCGCGTCGGCCACCGTGCGCAACCCTGTTTGTGCCAGCAGCGTAATTTCGTGACTCACCACTCTTGCTCCTGGGAGAAGAAGGAGAACGGTCTCCTCCCCCCCTGCACGATCCACGGGGGGGGCGAACAATGAAGATTCACATCTAAGAATTACCCACAGGCCATTGCCATTACCCACAGGGGAAGGTGAGGTAGAGGGCGAAGGAAATTATGCGGGGGGCCAGGGTAAGCCCGGCACGCACTGCTGATGCCGCAGTACACCCTCCCATCCCATGCCCAATCTTCAGAAGTTATGAGAGACAACGTTACCGTTGGGAGGGACCAGCTCAGGGGGGGACACATCGAGCTGGAATCGTCGATACATCGCCGATAGATCGGCGATGGGCCCCCGATACCGACTCTGCACGGTCCTGGGTGGGGTGGGCCATGGGGCCCCCATCGGCGATCAGTGGGCGATTGGGCGAAAATGCATCCCCAAGAGTCTATCCCCCGCTTGGCATTGCCCCTTAAGTCAACGCAAGCATGTGTTTTACTACCCAGACCCTGGCTGGAAGGGTAGGAGAGCCACGGGCCTGCAACAGCGTCACCACCCAGGAGGGCTGGCATGGCCCAGGTAGGTTGGGGCTCGGCTTTGGCCAATAAAGGTTGAACTGGAAAGTGGAGGCTCGAAACTGATTTGCCCGTGCAACATGACAATGCGTTGTGCATGTGTGAGGGAATCGCCATCCAACTATGGTGCCGGTATCGGGCATGGACAGCACCCCCTTTAGTAAAACGTGGTTTAATGAAAATGACCTCGGGCCCAAACCTGGCGGGCGCAAGCCTGGAAAATGACGGCTGCGGCGCCCTCGAGAACCGAAAACGGACAATTCACTAGTCGACGTGTGAGGGTGGGGGATCTGTCCACTCCCGGCATCCAGCTATGGTGCCAGTAGAAGATGTACCACCAGAACGATGCCCTGTGCCGGGAATAGCCCGATCTTGAGAAAGAGCCGTCCGCCCAGTGTTCTCGCTGCTGCAGAACTCTCAAGCATCACCCAAACCTCTGGCGACACCGTGACCTTGACACTGGGCCGCGCACCACTGAGGCAACTGCTGAAGATGTGCAGGTATGGGGCGCGACCAGATGAAGGGGCCCCAGGACACACCAAAAACTACACACAAATAAAAGGATTCCCCATATGTTATGTTTTTTTTGTCTTCCCCCCCCACTCTCCCTATTTTCCCATATTTCCTGGGAGTCAACGATTCATTGTGTCTGTGTGTGTCTCTCCCTCCCGACCAGACCGCACGAACGATGTCTCTGCTCTCCCAGCGCGAAGCGCTCGAGCTGAAAACGGGCCGCCCTCCGCCCGTGGAGCTGCTCGAGAGCCGCAGGCGATGGAAGGGGCCCACGGGCACACGACTGGGATGCACACAGAGAAAGGGATTCCCCACATGCTTCCAGGCTTCCTCGGTGTTCGTCTTCCCCCCCCCCCCCCACACTGCCTATATTTTCCCATACTTTCCTGGGGATCGCCGACGAGTTGTGCCCCTGCGTGGGCTGTTGTTCCCTCCTGGATGGCGACAGGTGCAGCGGTGCCGCGGCAGGCTCTCCGCGCTCCGTCCCTGCAGCTGAGCGAGGCGTCCAGCGAGTCGGGCGACGAGTCCTCAGCCGATACACTGATGGGCGAAGGCATCTACTCCAGATTTCGTAATAAAAGGGAGGGGGTCTGGACCCTCCAAGACAAGCCATTTCAGACCTCCCCCGTGGGAGAACCCTCCAAAACATCGTCCCCAGACCCCCCAGGCCCTCCAAGATAGCCTGGAAGAGACCCCCCCCCCCGAAAGCTTCTACGGCAGGTTCGCGTCGTGACGACCCAGGCGTTGGCTTCTGACGCCGCGTGGATCGTTCAACCTCGAGCGATCGGCGGCCTTTCCGTCGCTCGATCGTTCCATGTGGGCCGACTCTGGGCCACTGGCGGCGTGAAACCTTGAGCGTCCGCGGCGGGGTCGCCGCTGGTCGACACGACACGAACCTACCGTACATGTCACCCCTTGTGGTTGGCAGCTCGACGCAGGGAAATACGTCAGAAGGATAAGGGGTGGCGGAACACAGGGAGAAGGGGGGGGAAGGAGAGCTAGAGACGAGTGGGAGTAGAGTCAGTCGTCAGGGACACATTATGAGGATGCATGGCGCAAACAACACGGTGAGACGGCAGATGCGCCAGGAGGCATGCCCAGGATGCCCAGAAATGAGCGATGCAAAAACCGTTTGCTTCGTGCGTTTAGGTCCAGTCGAGTCATTATTGTCTTTAGGGTAACCGCTTTCATCGAGTACTCCCATCTGCTCCCCATCCCTTCGCATCGCCTCGCTTCGCGCCAGGGGCACGCCGACACGAGGCCGGCGTCTGCGCCGCCGCTCCTCTGCGCCGCGGCGCCCGTGCCACGAGCCCGACGAGACCGAGAGAGAGAGAGAGCGAAGAGTTACCGGCCTCGAACGTACCCCTATCCCCAAGATTGACACGCGCAAGAGGCGATGACAATCTCAGGGATCCGCCCTCAAGAAAGAAGGGAACCCCTAAGATTGGCATCGTGATGAGGTGGTGCCCAGCATAGGGATATGGAGCTCCTCCATGACATAGGATGGTACAGCCCTCGAACTCCTAGGAGGCATATCCCTAAGACTGTGACATGCCAATCTTAGGGATTCCAGGAGGAGGCATATCCCTAAGATGGTAAGGAGGGATATGGAGCTCCTCCCAATCCTCGTGATAGGGATAGGGATATGTCCCAGGCTGGCAAAGGAGCGCGAGCCCCTGGCCCGCCGCGGGAGCCGAGGGCGCACGGCTCGGCCCGGAGCGCCCCCCGCTCTCTGCCGGCACTCGGCCTCGCCTGGCGCGCGCGCGGCTCCCGCGCCGTGTGAAGGGGCCCAAGGACACACCAAGAAATACACACAAATAAGATGATTCCCCACATTTTCTCACATGTTCTGGGCCTTCGTCTTCCCCCCCCCACCTCCCATAGTTTCCCCATATCTTCGGGGGACCCGACGATTCATTGTGTCTGCGTGTTTCTTTCCCTCCCGCGCCGTGGGCTCTGCCGCCCGTGTGCCAGGGGGAGGCCCCGGGCGAGGCCCCCATCGGAGGGGGTCGCCCACGGCCTCTCGGGCGCTGGCGCCGGCGCGCCGCCACCGCCGCCGCCGAGGTGGCGTGGGCAGGCCGTGCTTCCCCCCTCCGCAGGGGGGGGCCTCGGGGTTCTGCATGAACTGCTCGAACTCCTGCGGGCCTGCGGGCCGCGGCTGCGCTCCCAGCGGCCCCACGTCCAGGGGGCCAGATGCGAGCCCTGCCCCTGCCCCCCACGATTTCTGAGGGGGAGGGTGGGGTTCACTTCGCTCGGGAGCTCCCGAACGAAGTGAACCCCACCCTCCCCCTCAGAAATCGTGGGGGGCAGGGGTAGGCTTCGCATCTGGCCCCCTCTGCGTCCCTCCGCGAGCCGCTGCAGGAGTGCTCGTGCAGACGGGCTGCTGTCCACCCCCCCCCCCCTCCCGCCCGGGGCACGTGCGGATCCTGACTCCAGACCAGCCCGCGCAGTGGCTGTCAAACGCAGGATCTGAGAGAGCGCATGGCCGTAGACTCGTCCCATCAGGACGGGTTCCGCACGTCCTTCCTAACGGTGCACCGCGGACAAAAGAGAATTCAGCGCAAGGCATTGCGAAAGGATCGGAGAGAGGGGTTGGGGGGTGGATGTCGTATGTGGCACGAGTGCACCCAATTTGCCCTCCATTTCCCCACTCCACCCTTCCCCTCTCTCCCTCTTCCACCTCATGCCCTGGGAGTGCGGGGGTGGAGGTCAGATGTGGCAGAGGAGAACCAAGCTGCCTCCTCGCCCTCTCCCCAGTGGTTCACGGATGGGGTCCCGAGGGACGGGTCCTCAGAGATGAGGTCCTAAGGACGAGGTGCCTCAAATAATGTGCACCCATCAGGATTAGGTTGCTCACATCGTACTTAAGGACCACATCCCAGAAATAATTTCGAGCACCCGGAAAAGTGTCGAAAGAGTATCGAAAGAGTGTCGAAAGCAGTGTCGAAAACAGTCTCCCAGGGCCCGACACGTGAAAACCCTCGAGTTTCGGTATTTTTTGGGTGCTCAATTCTTTCTGCAAAAACGCCATACACTGAAACTAGAACCACGCGCGCGCTTCGCGCGCGCTTAGGTTCTAGCTAGGAGGCGAGCTTGAGTCAACGAAAGTCGCAGGGAAGGGGGCAGGGGGAAGAAGGCCAGAGAGCGCTGAAGGATACAAATACTGGAACCCTCTTGTGATTTTGTGGGGGGCCTCGTCCGGCCGCTCGCTGGGAGTTTGACGTAGCTTCTCGGGAGCCTCTGAACCTGTCGGGGGCCTCCTGGAAGCAGGTTCGAAGCATTTTGGGGGCCGATTTGGGGCTTCTCGGGGCCTCCTTTGGGCCTCTTGGGGGTCTCCTGGGGCCTCTTGAGGGGCCTCCTTGGGGCCTCCTGGCGGCCTCTTGGGGCGGAAGGCTCGAGCTTGCGGTTCGTGGTCCCCCTCTGGGCCCCCTCTTGGGCCCGTCTTGGGGCCCTCTTGGGCCATCTTGGGCGCCTCTTGGGCCGTCTTGGGGCCCTCTTGGGCTGTCCTGGGGCCCTCTTGGAAGCTTCTTGGGCCGTCTTGGGGCGGTCTTGGAGGCCTCTTGGGCCGTCTTGAACGCGGTGAAAGCCCAAGATGCGAACATGCGACAAATATACGTTTCCCCATAGAAATGGCACGATTTTTGTTTCTTGGACATCTCTTGGGGTGCCTCTCGGAACGTCTTGGCTGATTTTGGAAACCTTTTGGCGCCTCTGGGCGGCGTTTTGGCGCCTCCTGGGATATGTTGGGCCGGAAGCTCGGAATTCGAGAGTGGCTTTCTCCTTCTGGGACCCCTCTCGAAGTCGTCTTGGGGTTCTCTTGGGCCGTCTTGGGGCCGTCCTGAGCCACTCGTGCGCAGCCTTGGAGCGCTCCCGGAGGCCTCCTAGGCCGTCTTGGAGGCCTCTTGGGCCGTCTTGGACGCGGTGAAAGCCCAAGATGCGAACATGCGAAAAATATACGTTTTCCCATAGGAATGGCACGATTTTTGTTTCTTGGACCTCTCTTGGGGTGCCTCTCGGAACGTCTTGGGGTGCTTTTGGGAGCCTTTTGGCGCCTCTTGGCGGCATTTTGGCGCCTCCTGGAGCCTCTTGGGCCGGAAGCTCGGAATTCGAGGTTGGCTTTCTCCGTCTGGGACCCCTCTCGAACTCGTCTTGGGGCTCTCTTCGGCCGTCTTGGGGCCGTCCTGGGCCACTCGTGCGCAGCCTTGGAGCGCTCCCGGAGGCCTCGTAGACCGTCTTGGGCGCCTCTTGGGCCGTCTTGGACGCGGTGAAAGCCCAAGAGGCGAACATGCGAAAAATATACGTTTTCCCATAGGAATGGCACGATTTTTGCTTCTTGGGCCTCTCTTGGGCTGCCTCTCGGAGCGTCTTGGAGGCTTCTGGGACCTTCTTGGTGTCATGACAGGCGTCTTGGAAGGCATCTGGAGCCATCGGAGCGCGTTCCGAAGCCGCCTGCGAACGATCTTGGACGGCGTCCGGCGGTCCGACGAGCCTCCGGGCCCCCCGGGGCCCACATTTGTGGTCGGGGTCCCGGCCCCGGGCCCCAGGACCCAGTGCGCCGTTATATGTATATACGGGAACCACGCGCGCGCTTCGCGCGCGCTTAGGTTCTAGCTAGGAGGCGAGCTTGAGTCAACGAAAGTCGCAGGGAAGGGGGCAGGGGGAAGAAGGCCAGAGAGCGCTGAAGGATACAAATACTGGAACCCTCTTGTGATTTTGTGGGGGGCCTCGTCCGGCCGCTCGCTGGGAGTTTGACGTAGCTTCTCGGGAGCCTCTGAACCTGTCGGGGGCCTCCTGGAAGCAGGTTCGAAGCATTTTGGGGGCCGATTTGGGGCTTCTCGGGGCCTCCTTTGGGCCTCTTGGGGGTCTCCTGGGGCCTCTTGAGGGGCCTCCTTGGGGCCTCCTGGCGGCCTCTTGGGGCGGAAGGCTCGAGCTTGCGGTTCGTGGTCCCCCTCTGGGCCCCCTCTTGGGCCCGTCTTGGGGCCCTCTTGGGCCATCTTGGGCGCCTCTTGGGCCGTCTTGGGGCCCTCTTGGGCTGTCCTGGGGCCCTCTTGGAAGCTTCTTGGGCCGTCTTGGGGCGGTCTTGGAGGCCTCTTGGGCCGTCTTGGACGCGGTGAAAGCCCAAGATGCGAACATGCGAAAAATATACGTTTTCCCATAGGAATGGCACGATTTTTGTTTCTTGGACCTCTCTTGGGGTGCCTCTCGGAACGTCTTGGGCTGATTTTGGAAGCCTTTTGGCGCCTCTGGGCGGCGTTTTGGCGCCTCCTGGGATATGTTGGGCCGGAAGCTCGGAATTCGAGAGTGGCTTTCTCCTTCTGGGACCCCTCTCGAAGTCGTCTTGGGGTTCTCTTGGGCCGTCTTGGGGCCGTCCTGAGCCACTCGTGCGCAGCCTTGGAGCGCTCCCGGAGGCCTCCTAGGCCGTCTTGGAGGCCTCTTGGGCCGTCTTGGACGCGGTGAAAGCCCAAGATGCGAACATGCGAAAAATATACGTTTTCCCATAGGAATGGCACGATTTTTGTTTCTTGGACCTCTCTTGGGGTGCCTCTCGGAACGTCTTGGGGTGCTTTTGGGAGCCTTTTGGCGCCTCTTGGCGGCATTTTGGCGCCTCCTGGAGCCTCTTGGGCCGGAAGCTCGGAATTCGAGGTTGGCTTTCTCCGTCTGGGACCCCTCTCGAACTCGTCTTGGGGCTCTCTTCGGCCGTCTTGGGGCCGTCCTGGGCCACTCGTGCGCAGCCTTGGAGCGCTCCCGGAGGCCTCGTAGACCGTCTTGGGCGCCTCTTGGGCCGTCTTGGACGCGGTGAAAGCCCAAGAGGCGAACATGCGAAAAATATACGTTTTCCCATAGGAATGGCACGATTTTTGCTTCTTGGGCCTCTCTTGGGCTGCCTCTCGGAGCGTCTTGGAGGCTTCTGGGACCTTCTTGGTGTCATGACAGGCGTCTTGGAAGGCATCTGGAGCCATCGGAGCGCGTTCCGAAGCCGCCTGCGAACGATCTTGGACGGCGTCCGGCGGTCCGACGAGCCTCCGGGCCCCCCGGGGCCCACATTTGTGGTCGGGGTCCCGGCCCCGGGCCCTCAGACCCAGTGCGCCGTTATATGTATACTTTTGGCGCTCCGCGCGGATTTCTTGGACCTGCGCCAGGCCCCCCTCCCCGGCGCGCGGAGCGCGCCACGCGCGAAGCGCCAAACGTTTATGCTCATGTTTTTTTTTGTTATTCTTCGATTCCCATCCCCCTCCGCGCTTCCTCCTCCTCCTCCTCCTCCTCCTCCTCCTCCTCCTCCTCCTCCTCCTCCTCCTCCTCCTGCTCTCCTCCTCTCCTCCTCCTCCTCCTCCTCCTCCCCCCTCCTCTCCTCCTCCTCCTCCTCCTCCTCTCTCCTCCTCCTCCTCCTCCTCCTCCTCCTCCTCCTCCTCCTCCTCCTCCTCCTCCCCTCTCTCCACAATTCCCGCCCTCACCCTCCTCTGCCCTCTCCCCCCGGCCGCCACACCCACATCCTCCTTAAAAAAAACTGGAAGACCCCAGAGGACCCCTCGGAGAGCCCAAGAGCTCACGAGAACCTTCGAGGATCTCGGAAGAACGAGAAGATCCCAGAAAACCTTCGAAGATCTCGGAGAAAGGAGAACCTTCGAAGATCTCGAAGAATCAGCAAGAGGCATCCGAAAACGTCTCGGAGATCTTCTCTCCCCCCCTCGGTGGATGGACAAGACCCTGCACCATCCGCGCGACCGGGGTGCCGGCGCACACTTCAAGGCGCCGCCCCCCACTGCCCCCGACTGCAATGGAGGCCAGTCCACAAGAAACCTTCCACAAGAAACCCACAACCGAGACCTCAGGACGTCCATTGATTCTTGGTGTGGGAACGTCACGTTTTCCATCACAAAACTCGGGAGCGGCCAAGAGGGGGGTGTCCAAGAGGGGGGGGTGCAAATCATGACCGGCGGCATGTGCGCGGCCCAGCGGGGGGGCCAGGGTAAGAAGGGGCGCCATGAAATCTGGGGAGATATCATGCCCCCCGCCATGATATCCACCCCCCCCTAGTCATCACCCCCCTCTTTTCCGCCCCCGAAAAACCATCGAAACCCAAGAAACCCCAGGCATCCTGGAGGCAAGCAGGACGTTTCTTGGCATGGGCCTCCGCTGTAGATGGCGGGGCGCAGGGCTTCGGCCGGTCGACTGATGGACGTGTCGCGGCGCATACCGCCAGTGTCACACTGGGGGCGCGGGGGGTGCCACGAAAATCGACGAAAAATCCACGACAATCCACGAAAATCCACGATGTTGTCCGTCAACCGGTCCCCTCCCCCCCCATTGTAAGACGGAGCCAAGACGAAAACGAATTCGGACGAGGATCAATCGGGAATCTCTGAGATCCGGCGGCTCTGGAGGATGTATTGGGCGCCGCGGCCTTCTCAGAGCGTTCCGAAACGCTCTGAGAGCGTTCCGGAACGCTCTGGAACGGACTAATTCCTAGACCTTGTCCCGTCTGGTTCCCCCCTCCCCCCTTGCGTACGGAGAGGCCTGTTCGGCATATCGCGGCGCATCGCGCCAATATGAAGATGGGGGGCGAGGGGGGGACGAGGTGCAGAATTGTTTCCATCAGCCGCCCCCCCTCATAGGAGAAAAAACGCCATAAACATAAACTGTTGGCGCTCCGCGCGGATTACGTGGATACGCGCTGGACCCCCCCCTTGGCCCGCCGAGCGCGCCAAGGGCGGCGCCGGAGGCGCCGCCAGGGGTGCCAAGCGCAGATCCAAGAGATCCTCGCGGAACGCCGAAAGCTTATGTTTATGGCGTCTTGCTCTTCTTCAACTCCCCCCCTGCGCACGGAGAGGCCTATTCGATTGTCGTCGTCCCTGTCGTAGCACTCCAGGATCTCCTGCCGCGGCGCGGCAGGCGCCACGGGGCGTCCACGGCGAGCCGCGGCGCACCGAGAGCTGCAGCTGGCGCCGCCCCGCTCTTGTGGCGGAGCCGGCACCGGAGGATAGGGCGGGGATCAGGGGGGGCAGGGGACGAGGATCAGGAGGGCGAGGATCAGAAGGCAGGGGACGAGGACCAGGAGGACGAGAATCAGGAGGACGGGGGGGAGCCGAGAGGAGTGCAGGGAGAGGGCGCGGATGAAAAGACTCGGCCTTACGCGTGGTTTCAGTCTGACCTGCTGATCCCCGCGCATGTGCTCGACACGAAGTGAAACCTCACAATATCGTAGCCGTTTCGAGACGATTTGGCATGTCGGGTTTCACGCACCGACGGCCCGGAGTGGCCCACCGGTACCCCCAAGAACAGCCCCACAGGAGCCCTGGACAAAAAAATACGGAAGAAAGGAAGGATCGGGAGCGGCCAAGAGCGGGGTGTCCAAGAAGGGGGGGGTGCAAATCATGACCGGCGGCATGTGCGCGGCCCAGCGGGGGGGGGCCAGGGACGCAATGAAACAAGATGAGGCGCCCTGAAATCTGGGGA